TGTTGGGTTATTTTTGCTGCCAGGATATGAAAACTGTAGAATAGGTATCGTACAAAATGTGCAAAAAGACTTGATTCCAATTTCATTCATTTCATCCAATTATTTACAAATGCTCTTTTTAAACGAACACATTTTTCTTGTAATAATAATACTTAAATTTCATTAAGTTTCATACTAGTTTTTCCGATTTAGTTTAAAATGGATCAAGAAATACTTAAGAAAGGTCCAATTTTGTCCTGTTTAAGTAATAAGTTTTAGGATCAATATTTGCTCTAGTTTTTTGATACTAGTTTTAGTCTATGATACTCAATATTTTTGACAACCCCTATTTATTTTGCAGGTCATTCCATCCATCTACTAACAATTGGCTAAAACTGCTTTTCAATACTGTTTTGTAGAAAGGATTGGAAGTGAGTGAGTGTATGGGCGTATGCCGTCCCTCTGACTGACCTCACAAGACAGATTGACCAGGAGCCCTGTAAACTTAATAGACAGCGTTTTAGTCAAATTATTTTTTTAAGATTGATATTTGCATCATTGTCACAATTCCCATTTTCCTCTAAACCAAAATGACTTTGATCTGTTGATATCCATAGACTGGATGAAAGCACCCTCTCAAGAAATGATATTAACGCTTTCATATTAATAATGAATGCAGTTACTTACGTCAGCAAATGGGGAGCTATATAGAAAAGGAAGTGAACGATTTGAATGAGTAATGTGGAATGCATGTGATTTTATACATTTATTACAATTTTCTCTTTCATATTAGCTGCCAAAAGCATGACCTCACAGTTTGACTATCAACTTGAACTCCTCCCAGGAAGGTTTTCATTTCTTTAGTAGCATTGGCGATTACTCACTGACTACCTCCAGTCTTTCAGTCTATGATTCGTCCTTGGCTTTTTTGGAATGAACCTAGCAAGTGTAATGCAATCAAAAGACTGAATCTGGCCCTGTGATGTCATCATTATGAGACACTTGTGTGATATCATGATAATGAGGTAATGGCGGGAGGAGTGTGCAAGTTTATGACTTTGGCACACGCTTGGTTTACAGTCCGCCGGCTGCGAGTGGCGACTAATGAGAATAGATGGTTCGCCTCAAGCCTCTCGTCTATACCCTGTGTTTTCCCACTGAATGGTGCACTGTAAGCCCCATGTTAATATCCTGTTGGGGAAAAGTAGAGGACGCTTAAGAAACAAAAGAAAACTATCGCTGAATCACTGGTCTCTTCAGACAATGTGCACCCTCTTCCTAGATGACTAACATGTGAACGCAGTGAATCAGTTAAAGCAGTTCCCTGTGACTTCTTCAAGTTGAGGAGCTTATTTCCAGATGGGTTTGTTGTGGTCCATGACTATTCCTTTAAGTGTTACTTTTTCCAAGCCACAGAGTGACTCCACCATGTGTATGTGCTCGAGAAACACGGTGTGTGTAATGCCCTGGTCCTTCATGTGCAGTACTTGGCTGTTTTAGCTCCATGCATGTTCTAAAACTACGCTACTGGGCGACAGTAGCTCAATTGGTAGAGCATTGGCCTTAAGGCCAGAAGGTCGTGGGTTCAATTCCCACCTCTGCACCTTCTCCATCGACTCCCACTGATGACTGCTGTCGTTGTGTCCTTGGGCAAGACACTTAACCCCACTTTGCCCAAAAAGCCCCCACTGAAAGATCAAGGCTATGCTCACACTCAGAGAGCAGCCGCCCTCCTGTGGACTCACCACCTGCAGAGGGTCAGTGAGGGGCTGGTGCTATGAGACTTGGGTGGCATCTCTGACTGCCACCCCCCTGACCCAGAAATGGATTAAAGGGCAGAAAATGGATGGATGGATGGATGTTCTAAAACTCTGAGACAAGGTCATGACTTATAATTATGTATTTTCTACTGCTGAACAAAGTCACATGCTCAGAAGTACTTAATGCAAAGACAGTAGTCACTACTCAAATCTCCAATCCTTATACAAATTGATTTCTGCTAAATGTGAGAACAGTCAAATTCATCAGAAGATCATAGTGTCAGAAAGGGGACTTCAAAAACTCATTTATAAATCTTCAAACTTGTTAAAACTTACTCACTCTCGTTTTTCGTTGCACAGATCACATTATAAGATCTTCCAAAACACCAAAATGCAATATTGAATATTGAGAGCTTTTGAACCAGATTGCTCTTTGTTTTTTCATAGATCACAAACTTGACCTGTAAAGTCACATCTGTTACATTACAAAGTGCACATTTTATGAATAAGACGCATGGTCACAATAGCTTAACACATATAACACATACACATTATGAAAAATTACACAGTCATGCCTGAAACATAGCTACTAAAATTGCACAGCTTTCCATACTTGCACAGTGGGAACATATAACACCTAACAGTGAAGAATCCCGTACAATAAAGTCAATCATTTACCCAGCTGGCTGTTAATCTGTCTTTTATTTAGTGTTTTACGCTACAACTGTGATGCTCCGCTGCTTTGTCAATTAGTGTGATTTAGAAGTGAAGGTGTGACCTCACCCAAAAGATCACATGTGCCAAAGTCACCCTGCATGCAGAAATGACATCATGGATAATGATGTCATCCCAGATCGCTGCAGAGCAGACCCTCTCCCTTCCCCACCTAAATGCTTTTAGCCTTGACTGCACACATGCACACGTTTATGTACACACTTTAACCAGTGCTCACAAATCCAGCCGCACCAACACAAAGTTGAGATAGAACAAACTCCCAGATGCAAAAAGAATTGTTTCACGTGAAAACAAATATATCAAGACTAAAAGAAATGACAATAATCAATTAGTAAACAGTGTTTGAGACAAGCCAGCTTTTCCTCGTCTGCATGAACAGGAAAAGACCACTTACTAGAAGTAGAAATAATCACATCATGTGTCTTTAACTGGCTGAAATTATTATTGTTATTTTAGTGTAGTTTATCAGTTATTCACCAAACTGTGAACGGTGATGATGAAGTGAAGAAATGCAGTATGTGTTTTTCTATCTCTCCTTCTGATGTAGTGGTCCAATATACTTTGTTAATATTAATAGTACAGTAGTGTTATTGTGCAATGTGTTTTGTAAAGTGTCTTTAAGGGATGCATTATTATTATTATACTACAACATGCAACATTATAAAATCATCATGGTGTCAGTCTCCTCTCTTTCAATTTGTTGTTTGTATGACATGTGACTGGTTGCTCACAATAGTTTTGACGATAAAGAAGGTAAAAAAAACCTTGTTCAAATCCCTCACATACACAAACACACACACTCACATACACAAACACACACACAGACACACAAACACACACATAAATTATGTTTTTGTGCTACCAAAGATCACTGGACCATATGTTGCCATTTGACTGAAGCACTAACCATTCTAATCAATACTTTTAGAATTTTTTATTTTACCAATTTGAACTCAATCCTGTGCTTCTTTAACCCGTGAAGATAATGCTCTCTCTCTCAAATAACAAAGACATCTTTTGTTATTATACACATTTTAATATTTTCCTCACAATACGATGAGAATGACCTCTTCTTAGTTTTAGTGATGAAATGTGTTACAATCATATGTTTCACAAAGACAACTCCACATATGACTTGGATCATACTCTTTACTTTCACTTAACCCATTCGCCTCCCCGTCCCTCCCCTTGGTTTCTTTCGCACACTCCTCCGTGGCTCCATGCCCAGCTCCTGACCTTAGTAAATACGTGGCTAATTTGAAGCATGTGGCGGCAAATTGGAAACACAGAGCTTTTAAAACTGCATACTTTTTTTGCACATACTAATTCCTCCCAGGAGATCCCATCAGATTAAATGACCCAAACATGTCAACGTCAAGGTGACACTTGGGGCCATGGGCAGAGGGGGTTTAAGAAAAGAGGGGTTTGTGGGGGGGGGCGTGAATGACTTTTAAAGAGAGCTGTTGGTTTGAGTCGCGCCTTAATAAACACTTGATCTGTCATTTGTTTTCTTCACACGCAGGTGGAAAGTCTTAGGCCTGACCTCTTGCTCCAGAGAAAGAGCGACATGCAGGTGCGGGCCGGGCAGGGGTGCAGGAGCGAGGGGTGTGGGCCTTTTGTCCCAGTGCACTTGTCTCCTTGAGGATGAAAGTGAGAATTTCATCTCTGGGTTTATCTGCAACTCTAATCCTCAAAAGGAAAAGTGGGAAAAAATAACCAATAACTGCAGAAAATCACAAAATCACGAAAGTTTTTATTACTTTTAAGAGTTTCCAAAATTGTCTCTGTGAAGAATAGACTTATATATGTTTTTGTTTAATTAGTCAATGAAAATAGCACAACAAATGGACAAAATTGTTGAGCATAAACACATTTTTGTATTCAAATTGTTTTATTATTTCTTCCATAAAAGCACACACACGCACGCACACACACAGGTCCAGGACAATAAAACTAATCTATGAAAACCATACAATAAAAAAAGTGATCATGACTTTCTGTGGTTGTGTTATGTTTTATGATAATGACTTAAACCTTATCATGTAGGTCATATTATTTGACAATGTTTTGTGGTATTGTTTTTGAAGAACATTATGATGACATCATTTGAGTTGTCCATGTAAAACAATTTGAACTTGGTTTCAAGGTCTATCCTCCGATAAACCTACGGAGAGTAGATCGAGGACATTAGAATGAGTCAGAGGAAGTGAAGTGACTTGTGAGTTAACACACAAGATAAAACACAAAATCAAAAAAAATATGAGCTTTTGTGCTTTTATTACTCATTCAGAAAAGATGTGAACTGGGAAACATAAAAGAAGCATAATCATAATCATCAAGGAATCAATTTTTCAGATATAATGTTCCATGTGTATAAATGTGTTCCAACATACCAAATCAAACCAACACCAAAGGTAGCAAAAACAGCATCAAAATGGGAAATCACACTTTTATAATGCCTACAGATTTGGCACCAAACTAGGGTTCCTGGTTGACCACAATCTGGAGACTTGTGATTGTCTAAATTTATCCCTGGTCTCCTCTGAAGCCTGAGCAGGTGGAGGTGACGGGGTTCTGGCCTCCTCTCACGGGACAGACGAATGCACCGCACGACATCACTGATCATGACATTTCCACTACACACACCATACACACCATACACACCTACAGACTTTTATTTCTGCATTTCTGGATTGGTCTTGACTCCAAAACACCAAATCAAGACCAGTTTTTTCCAATATTATATACATATATTTTTGTATAGCCCAATGTGTTTATTTATTTCAAATGTGGACATGACAATACATCACATATTCCAATTACATTTACAATAGTTGTAGTCCCACAGTTCACAGCAGCAGTTGGACGTTACGATGTGATTAGAGAATGAAACAATCAACAGACACGAAATAGAATGATAAACATAACTAAAGTTAGTCTTTTTATTTTATGTTTTTTTTTACTTATCTAAATCAGGGGTTCTCAAAGTGGGAACATTTATAAGGGGGTTCTTTCTGATCAGCTTTTGCGCAGTAATGTGACCTGCAAACTGAAAAAGTTTGGGCACTCGGTCCAAAGAGCAAGTACCAGTATATGTTGTGTTTTTGTTGGAAAAGGTAACATTGAAGGTTTTTATTTGTTTTTATTTGCTATGTTAAAATATATTTTTTAAATAATTTCGTTAATCTCACAGTACTTGTCCCCACTGTCTCATTTACAATATATATATATATATATATATATATATATATATATGTGCAACAAAATGTATACAATCAAATACTACAATCAACAAATCACCATAATTATTTAAAACAGTAAAAATTGACAGGCCATTTGAAGCCATTATTTTGTGTATGTTTGAGTTTGTTTAAAGCAAATGTATATTGTGTATGTTTTCCACAGACCTGCTGCTCTGTTCTCCAGGATGACATCATCGTCTCGAGCCATGCCAACTGCTTCATAAAGCCAGGCGTGTTCAATAAGAGCCTCTCCTGCGATGAGCTGCACGTAGAGGACCACAGTGAGAATATCGGACTCATTCACTACATTTGCATTATGGGACAATTAAGCCTGATGTATAGAACTGTATCATCAGCACATTATCATCAGTGCACTATCATCAGCACACTATAATCAGCACACTTCTAGTTTAAGAGACAGCTTGTGGAGAAATGTTATCAAAAATGTGTTATTTTTATTTAAACAATTCATGTACTGCCAGTTTCCATGATATGTGATCTGCATTTTGCTTTAGTAATATACGTAAATGTTATGTTACATAGTGCTCTTGATTAAGCTGTCTTATTTTACAGAAGACATGGACTTCAGGTTGGTAAAATTTATATTTAAATATAATCTGGATCTATTTTAAATTCCTGTGTCCTTGTGTCCTTGGGCAAGACACTTAACCCCACTTTGCCCAAAAAGCCCCCACTGAAAGATCAAGGCTATGCTCACACTCAGAGAGCAGCCGTCCTCCTGTGGACTCACCACCTGCAGAGGGTCAGTGAGGGGCTGGTGCTATGAGACTTGGGTGGCATCTCTGACTGCCACCCCCCTGACCCAGAAATGGATTAAAGGGCAGAAAATGGATGGATGGATGGATATTTTAAATTCCTTTTAGTAAGCCAATGTATCTGCATGTCTGCGCATAAATCAAGAATGTGTAGATGACAGATGAATTAAACCCAAACTACTTCACCTTAACAAAACTACGTCACCTTAAAACGGAAAAACTGCGCTTTGCTTTTGTAGATGTCCATAGTAAAGACATTATTGCAATTAAATGATGAGATCAATTTCTACTCCCATATTTACTGCTTTGCTCCTGATGACTGATTTAGCGATGTTTTACCAACTTATCAGGTTTGGTCCCACCATTTTCTATTGTTCCTTACTGCACCTTTTACTTTTCCAATCACACCACTTTTAGACCAAGCAATCTCCAGACTTAATGCGCCTATAGCTCTCCCATTCTCTCTGAGTGCTATGTGCTAACACGGCACTTTGGCCAAGGGTTGTGGTCTCACGGCTGAGTGTCAAGCAGCACCTTCCCCTCTGAGGAGAGCAGCAGAGGGAGAAAGCACACACACACGCACACTGCATGGTGATGTCATTCAGAATGACATCATCCTGTGGAGAGGAGCCAAGGGAGCTGATGGGTTAGCATCCTCCAGCGAGTTAAAGCGAGAGAGTTGTAAAGAGAGTGAGGAGCTGTTAAAGAGGCTATGACTGAGATCTGTCATTCTTTCTTTCTTAATATTTACTAAATGGTCCTGCTTCACTTCTTTTACTCCGGGAGCCTTTGTTGAAAGTGTCTGTGCTGTGGACAGTTGTAGACCTGTAGTGTACCTGGTGTGGTCCAGCATTACTTATAGATTATGGACTGAATTTGTTTTTATTTAAATGGTGGGTACAGTATCTTTGAACATGTTCTGATTGTAGTCTTTTTTGCTTTTCATAATGATTTATGTTCAGGTTTAAGATTATTTGTCAATTTGGTCTTGAGCTATGCATTGTCCAGATCCATTAAAAGTATTATTTATATATCTATTACCAAACATTGGTTATTGAACTGCTTAAATATCTTAAAGTGTAGTTTTTTTCTCAATGCAGAGATTTCTTCAATTTGAACTGGCCCAGAATAATAGCCATTTGTGCTTATGTGTGTTTACTAGGATTTCACAATGTCCAATATTTGTAGTAAATGTAAAACTAAAAGAAGTTTCATGCATGTTTTCGGCCCTCTTACAAATAAAATCACATCGTATATTGTGATAATTTTGATTTCATGATCTCATATATCCAATTACGTGGGTCTTATGCAGATGCTCTGGTTGCAGGAAGTGGGGTTGAGTGGAGCCATCCTGCAACTGAAGAGAATCAATAGTAGAGCACTAACAAGAGCAAAGCAGAATAGAACCGGTACATAATCATTCATCCATTCTCATGTCTAACTGCTACAAATACACACAGATCTCTTCCACGTGCCCAGCGTGGTTCCATTGTTGTCCACTTGGTTGTGCTGTGCTCCACACTGTGCGCAGCATGCCAGCAATCTGTAAGCAGACACTATGCAGGCGCCCTGTTAAATACACCTCTCTTTATCCAGTCCATGATAAGTCCAATTCACCTGACACTAACACACAATAGCTTAGTCATAACCGTGCTCTCTAGTGGCCATCATGCCGCCTTTACATATTCCTCTAAACCACTCAATCACTCCTTCCATATTGGAAAATGAAAGCTGGGGTGTTTTAACGTGATGATTCAATCGTCCTTATCGCACACTGCTGTTATTGTCCATCTGAGTCAACGGTCTAAATACAGAGGCATGTCGTGTGGGACAGAGGAAGAGAGTTATGACGTGAGCGTGTGAGGGTGCGGAATATCTTTAAAATAACAGTATTGAAGTAGTGAAGTCCCCCCCACAATGAAACTTGTCTCTTGTTTAAAGAATACAGTTAAGTGACATTACATTCACTGACATAATGGATTTTTGAAAGGACTTTGCAATGGGACTACAATAATAATCCAATATCTTGTCCTTCGGTAAGAGCACAAACTATATATTTTTGTTCAGAAACCACAAGAAACTTCTGGTTGTATGTAATCTATGTGTAAGAACTATCAGATCGCACATTGGAACAGCAGATCTATAGATGTAAATTTGTATAATCACATTTTGACTTGCTTTCTCCACAGGAAAGTTAAAGGTGTTTTACATGTCTTTGTTTTAACTTCTAAGTCTTTAACAACATATTTATTTTTGGTACATGCATTTAGCCATCCATTCTTCCCGCAATTCTTTCTTCCCTACGCAGGAGTTTGGACACAAGTACACTCCTACTCTTTCGAGCTTAGTCATAGGCCTCACTATCTGGAGTTTTCCAAAAATTGGTCATTTCCTTATGTGCTTTTTGCCCTCTCAAAATACTTTTTTATCACTTTAGCACACGCTGATTATGCAAATCTTACACAGATAGCAAATAGGAAACAGCTTTAGCTTCTCTCGGTACTATCTGGTTCATCGGGTTGCCTATATATTGCAATGTAAGTCATAAGACAGAAAGGAGACAAATACTGTATACTGTGGCCTTTTAGCTTTTGTGTTCAGGTTTTCTGTGTTACCTGTTGTGGTGCAGCGCTGAGTGGGACAGTGCATTGACGTTATGAGAGGAACACAGGGCATCCCAAAAGACACCGCACCATACGCGCTCTGTAAATATGGGACACCTTTTGTTTAGTGTGAGCCTGCTCTCCTGCTCCGATGAAACTGTTTGTCTGACGTCTGCCAGCTTATCTTCTACTGTCTACATTACATAACCTGAAACTGGTCAATAGATAATGTGTTCACACTTCTACCTAACTATATATGTGAGTTATTCTATGCTCTGCTGCTTCTGCAATATGGACAATGTGGACTGTAGCAATTCAATTACAACTTTTTTTTCCTAAACTTTATATTGCAGAAACAATCCAAAGAAATAAAGACAATAATAACATGCAATTCTGTATTCACCAACACTCTGAAATATAATTATGACAAAACTATTGTACTGTAGTAAATGTGTACTTAATATTTCCTCACCTCAATGTTCATCTCAACTAAAGTTTTCCCTGATTATTGATCTGGTTACGCTTGCATAACCACCAAGGCTGTGAAACAATCTGCTAACCCTAACTGCTTTTTGATTACTCAACTCAATGACTGTTGGATTCTTCTTTTCTCACATTTACCTCCATCCTGCTTTTCTCGGCAGAGTTGGATTGAGCAGCATCATTCCAACTCACCAACCATGGACGCCCTCAGTTGACCTACTTCTGTACTGGACTCGAAGACCGGCCTGTCCCCCTCTGCAGGCCTGTAAACATACACACTTTTACTCAAACAATAGATGTCCTGTTCTTGTTGCATCCAAGTTCTTAAAATACATGTGACTATTAGATAATGCAAGTATGTTTTATAAAAAGGTATTAGGGATTCAATGGGAAGGATCAGTCCAACAATGACTAAGATTGTTGAAAATACATTAGAATCCTAATCATGATTATTTCTATGGAATGGTGCAAACAAGTTATAACAGTAAAAATAGATATAAGGCACGTAGCAAAAATCTTCATACAATATACAAGTGCAACTCAAAGTGATATGAGTGATTATTATTGACTCATATTGAGGCCTCCCACACAATATGACCTTGTTGCTGTGGATGAATGCTGATAATATTGCAAATATCACCAATATATGATTTTGTTTTAATATATAAGATAGTTATGTATACTTTTTTAACATGTCTGGGACCAATTAAAAGTATATATTCTAAAGTAACATTTTAGAAAGAATATGGAAACTAAGAATTTAGTTTACTAATTTGTTGTTTTTTTATTTTTTGTGTGTGCTACCAGAAGTCGTGTGCTTACTGTGCTTAATTGATCCAATGGATGTGCACGCTGTGGGCATCTCCTTCCCGTTTTCTACTATATAACAAAGAGTGGAACATAAAGAAATCCATTGTAAGTGGTATATGGCTCCCACAAAGTCTTCTCTTGGTGACCTTTACACGAAAACCACAACCCATCAGATAATTTCGCTTGATTTCAGTGTCTTGTTTGCATTCTGACTGTGCACCGTCCCACACATCGCGCAAATATTCAAATACTTCTGCGAGCTGCAAAATGCATGCGTGACACTCTTAAGTCCAAACAACACTTCCAGACCTTGAACGCAACACAACAATATGGCCAGTGTGTTTTCAAATATACAATGTAGTGGAGCAATGTCATGTTTTGATTCTTGTAGGGAGAATAGACTTGAACAAAAAAGCAAAAAAGTTGTGCATTGAAACACTATGTTTACATGACACCTGCACCCATTGACACGCGTAGGTTAATTCTAAATATGCACAAAGAGAGTTGGTCTTTTGATGACTCCGCTGCCATTTTCTAAGCTATTTGTGTTTGCTTTATAGCCTGCAAAACTAAAAGACATGTCACTTAACAAGAACACAACCCACATGAATTAAGAGCCTGTATAAAACGCAGAGACACGTTTTGTTTTTACCCTATACTCTGATTAATCAATTTGCCTGTTTGAAAGCAACTACTCTGCTTACGTCGCCAGGTTTTTGAATGACCGCCACAATAGGACATCATGACCACTTGGATAGAACCGAGAGGATGGAGTGCGTCTTGATGGTGACTTCATTGGCATCACAGCTTCCTGATGCAATGCAACTGTAACAGTGTGAGGGGGGAACCGGGAGATCACCTTTTTATCCGATGAACCGAGATGATCCTATTTCTGCATTGTAAGCCGTCTCAGCCGTGTAAACTCTCTACCAAGAACTGTGCAAGAGATTGTCAACATTAGCATGTGTTCTCAGGGCTGAACCTTACTTGTTGCGTTGTATAATTGGCAAATGAAGAATACATATAAGCTCAATAATAGCCATGTTCATAGGATTTGAGTTTGCTTCGTGTAATCAAAACAAAACAATTAGAGTACACAATGAGAAAGTTTGTTGACTTCTGACATCTGCAAGAGACGTGAAGTCACCTGCCAGAGAGAAGGGAGCGGACAACCGGGTCTATACGCGCGTCTTTGTAGTCCAAGAGAACGATGGAAAAGCCACTGGAAAGCACTGCCTCGTCTTGGTGACGTTGTTCTAGTATTTACGTTTTGACTCGAAAGAAGGGATTCACTTTCCCACTCTTCTTGTGCACACCAACTCGAACTATGCAAATGCCTTGTTACGCGCGCCACAAAGCGCACGGACCTCTTCGGGCTGGACAGTGCCGCTTCCCCCTTGACCAGGATGTAGACACGTGAGCAGGGCTGACTTTATCGCGGATTTGGATGAGGTGTTTTGAGCCCGTTAATGGACGGCTGTGTGAACTATACGTGGTGGCTTTAGGCTGCGCTCTGGTGTGTTTTTCTCCTCTCTCCACCGCTCCGCCTCCCCCCCTTCGCAACATTGACGCAACCAAAAACACTGGAACAAAAGAAACAACTTCCTTGAAGCTTTGCTGAAACTGCACTTACTCGGAGAAGAATGGATGGAAGCTAGTTGTCAACTTGCCCTGGATGGAATTTGTCGATGAGGTGAGGTTGTCATCAGCGGACCGGCTTCATAGATCCATCCATACAGAGAAAGATGCACTGGAAAACATCAGTGTGTGAGTGCATTTAAGTCAGGCGAGTCTTTGTAACTTTGGCTGGATGACCTCGCCACTATAGTTTTGTCGTGAAGTTCTTTTTGGGGGAAAAGTAGCCTAATCCAATTCATTTGCGTAATTGACGTAAAGTCGCTTTTTGTGGTGCTTGTGTTGTCGAAGTAAAGCGGTGAAATAAGTTAAAGACCGTGTGTTTTCATTGTGCCGAGATGCCCTCGATGTATAGGCTGTCTTTTGTGCAAGATATGACATCTTTGCAGGCGTTTGTGAGTTAGACAGCCTGTCATTCTGAAACTCGTTTGTAGATTCGAAAGTCAATGGATTTAGATGTGTATGGATTTAGTGTGTGCAAGAATCAATACATTATTGTGGAGTGTTGACAACTCGCCGGTTTATTATTGTTATTCAGGCGGCAGCGCGGACCAGTCTCACTGCGCGAGAAACAAGCCTCGACACGACACTACAATCATATTATCTCAATAGGAAAATGTCCTAAGTGCAGGGCGTTGTGTTCAACTTTTCTTTGAGGTGTCAGCCACAGTTTTGGGCGGACTATCACTCTTGCTTTGTCGCGTCGGTGTTTTCACTGCATGAACAAAGGGTTGGATGGAGTACTCGGCTCGACCCACAGAGTCGGTGGCGAGGAAGGCTGTTTACAATAATAACACGGGCGGGGCCACGTCAGGTGAGCGACAGCCGCTGCAGCCAATCACAGGGCAGCACACTGATCAGCAACACGCTATATTTGGAAAGTGGTTACATCACCGACGTACAATAGTGCAGTATGGAGGGAGGGACTTCCGCAAGAATTGTCATTTTGTAGTCCAGAAGTAGGACAATATGCTTTGAGTTTTGTATTTAGAACTTTGAGTGAATTTTGTCTAAGTCCATTTACCAATAGTGATAGGTATATTATGCATCATAGGTTACATGTTAAAATAGGCTTTTTATATTGTTATTACCCAGATACTAGGCCTACACTGTCACCTATATACCTACTTTGTCAAACCTTAAACTTGTCAGATCTCTTACGCAAAGCACCTGATTAGTTTTGTGATGGGAGACTGTTATTCTAAGTGCTGCAGTGGGGTGCTTTACTCTTGTGTCCTTGGGCAAGACACTTCACTATCACCAAGTTTGATTGATTGGTGGTGGTCAGCGGCCCAGCTTAGATTTGCAGTCTCACTTCCGTCAGTCTGTCCCAGGGCAGCGGCACCTCAACACAAGTGTGTATGGTGAATGTCATTTCTTGCCAGAATAACCAGTAGGACCCGGTTTTATTTGTGGTAGATTATTACACGTTCTTTCTCAACGTTCTGTCTACATTGGCTGAAGAGGCTGCATGAATATGGGTTATGATGATTACGAGGCATAGCTTGATGGAAGAAGTTGTCTTTCTAACATTATGTTTTAGCAAATGTGCTTGTAGAATGTTTCTTATATTATCAACCTTTACATTCCCATCTGGTGTCACTAGACCTACAATCGGTGCTAGTATTATTCTTAATGATTTTCAAGTGTCTGGTGTTTTACATCACTTTGTTTGCCTTTTGCTCTTGCCAGGTGTTTAAAGTGTGTAGGCCAGTTTGTGAAGAAAGGTGAGAAAATAAAGAAGAGCAGAGTTCTAGAACTGATAAGACAATGTTAGGGATGCCAGGGCTAAAAGAAACTCATTCTAAAGTTCGATGCAGTTTACAACATACACAATATTGTGATTTCCCTCAACTAAGTAAACATCATTTAAATCGTTAAATAATGTTTTTTGTGTACATTGGAGGAGTTTATTACATGGTTGCTTGGTAACATATCTAGCGTGATGTTGTCATACACACTTTAATTATCTATAGACTTCTTTCAATTTCAGAAGAATATCTAAATAACATATATTGCATTACTTGGTGACTAAGCCGTAATCAAAGTTGTGTTCATATAAACTGTTAGCTAGGTATATTAAAAGCATTGTTGTATCTGTGTGTTTGCATGTGAGCTTCTGTGGAGCACAGAGGGCCTGACAAGACCATTCCGTGCTAAAAAGAGGTCAGAGGTTGCTGTTGTATTTTCAGGGTGATCTGCTAGTGACTATTAGCCATTGATGAATGTGATGTCCCACAAGTGTGCGGGTTGCACTCTTTAAAGGGGGAGGTGTTATAACACGCCCCACGCTAACCTCCCAGCCAACCCCACCTCAACTTGTTCATACACACATGCAAACACACACTCTGTCCCGCTGACAGGAGCACAAGGGGGCAGCTGCTACAGATGTCTCTGAAAGAGGGGGAGGGGAGGCCAGGAGACATCAATGGATAGGCTTTCTCTCCAAAGTTCTCACTGGGCCTCATTGTATTCTTTAAAGACCACAACCACGGAGTGGGCTATGTTACATGGCCCATGTTAATAAAGTGTGCATACGCTTTAAATATTTTGTGTAGGCTAATTGTTATTCTAAAGACTACATAATAAACATACAAACTACATTTGCACATCCTTCATAGTCTACTATGATTAGCACACCATTTGTTAAAGTTAGTCATTTCATTGTCTCTAGAAGTTAAGTCTACATGTGAATAATGCCCTTATTTTTCACCCCATGTGTGCAATTTAGAGTTGTGTTCACTCCTCATGCGGTATCTTCACTCGCACGTCCATTCAAATTTTGGTCAAATGTTATTTTCTCATGTTTTAAGTTTCTGCAATGGACCCAAATTATAAAGCTTTAAATACAACAAGTACGAGAAGCAGTTTAGTGTAACAGTCAACCATGCACACACGCTATGTTACATGAAATCAAATTACACTGAACCAAAAACCACCATAGCAACTTTGCAACCAGACTCGCAAGCTGTGGCTATCAATTATGACAGGGCTGCTCTTGTTCCTCCTCACAAGGGATAGCCCCACTGTCTCAAACCTCCTCATAAAGAGATGTATTATAATGGGATTTCATTTGGCTGTGCTAAACAACCAAGTGTGGGTAGCACTGCAGCCTGAGTAGCATGGTTCATTTGTGTAGTGACATGTGACTTGTGTTTTTGTGAGTCATAAGGATCTCCTGCCTAATGGAAGGCAGTGTGCTCATGTGATAGTGTGACACAATGCTTGATGAACTCTATAGCATTTGCGTGGCTACTGTTTGGTTTTGTATCAGTAGTCTTTCATTGATCTGAATTATGTGGTTGTTATGAAGAACATTATGCATATGTTTTTATTTCATTTTTTTATATTAAAAAAATAAATTGGAGATTATCTGTATTGATCACTATCTTTTTGCATGCTGTTGGCAGCACCATCCTGGTCTTCTCAATGGTCAGGGTGGTGTTTTTGCTGGCTCATCCCTGCCTCTCCACATGGCTGTTTAACAGCACAGAGCTCCTCCTTACTGGCTTCCTGTCCAAACCAGTTTATCTGTAAACAAGTGTGTTTTTTTTCCCCTGTCCGCCCCATTGTGCACAATTCTGCCGAATGTATGCTCTCTGAGGACCCTTGCTTTGCCCACTAAACTTGCAATCAAACATATTGACAGGTGATTTACAGAAACTTGCTCGTTGTGTTGATAGTGTAGATATTACAATTATAAAATTGGCAGATCTTGAGGAACGTGTCAGGCTACGTGTAATGAGACATTTGATTGGGGGAAAGTTGTTTTTTTGTTGTTGACTTTTTGTATTCACACCCAGGATTGGTCACTGCTCTATCATCAGCCTCGTAAATGGTGCTTGTTGTAATCATAATATAACACGTTTATTAGGTCATGTATTCTTTCATTCATACTGGCATAGGGCTTTCTCCAGGCCGTGTTTATGAACCGCTTCCCCACCGGCACCGTCGCTGTTATTACCGTGAACTTTCCCGAGAGCCGCTCACTGACATAGAAATCCGCGGAGCACCTAAAGAGTTAAGTTTCCTCCTGGTTTAGCGCTGCGTGGGCTCCCAGATCATTCGAGAGTGCATTTTCACTGTCCAATGAAAGGCGCGGGCTTCACTTTGCATCCAGCCAATGGAGGCAATGGGAGGCTCTACCGAATTTGAATGAGGAGTGTATCTTTTCGGCGCCATTTTCGAGTGAGCTGCGATCGCCCCAGCAGCTGCGGTGAGAGGATGCTGTGATCAAGCTGCCTGAAGGAAAGGGACCAGGCGAGCGCTCAAACACTAACTGCGTCTTTCGGAGGGGAACCTTTCTCCCCCGCATCACAGCACAGGTAATCCAGCCTCGGTCTGTTCACAAGACGTGTTCTGGACGCTGTGATACTTGAATTAATACAAATCCGAGGTGGCGAAGGGAGCCATTTGAGCAGCTTTGCCTGTACTTCTGCTGCGCTAGCCTGTTAGCATCGGCGGCTAGCGCAAAAGGATTTCTGACTTTGCTGCGCTGGGGAAAAACTGCACAATCAGCGATACGTTTTTTTTTTCTCCTGAGGTTTGGCTGACATATGCGCCAATAAAATCAAATGTCAATTAGATGAGAACTATTGGCGTGACTAACTTTGTGAGCGAGTTAAAGTTTGGATTTGAGAGAGTTTTTTTTTGGCATTTATGGCAGAGTTTTTGAGCGGGAGGTGCAGAAGGCAAGCAGCGGACAGGCAGCCTCCCGTGGGCAGTGTCAACAAATCCACGGAGCGCCGAGAATGGAGGGAAAAAGACGTGAAAAAGGCGCTGGGCATCGTTTCTTTGACGCTCTGCAAGTTTATTCTTTACTTTTTCAGACGTGAGCTGGTCTGGTGGGCAGGGCAGCGTGAGGCGAACAGACAGTAGGCTTTTTTGCTTTATGCATATAATGATTTGTACTTTTTTAATATATTTTTTTATATATGTCTGACACGTCGTACTTTTTTTTTTTTTATTATTCTATATTTTATAGAGCAAGTCTTTTTGTCTGTTTGCAGTAAAATGATATGGCCCCGTGCCAACTGTCTAATGTCAGGTTTATAACTTACATGTAATAATGACGTCTTAATAGTTTTCGACACGTGGCTGTAATCAGAGACTGAGCAGTGCTAACAGACTCTAGTCGTTTGTTTTGAGTTGTGTGACTTCTCAGAAGCTCACATTCCTGATGAAGTGGGGTATTTTAGCTTATTCTAGGTTGTCCTCGTAGCCCGTAGAGAGGAGAGGAAAAGCGAAAACCCTCCCCTTCCACCCTAGATCAGTTTGTTACATAATATGACTATTGCATTTTTAACATACACTCTTAGTAGCCTATATTTTATTATTTCACATTTTTTATTTGTTCTTCATTTGATATTTAGATATTTTGAGTCAGAGTGTTTCATTTGCCTTAAATCAACATTACATTCTCAAGCCAATAAGCCCAATATGAGCTCTTTGATTTGATGACACCAATTTTCCCTTCCAAGTTTAGATGAGTTTTTGGTATTAATTATCTAATTGTATTTTACTTTCCAGTATTTGCACACATCTTTCACTTAATGCATACATCAAAGTATATTGCAAAAGTAATGGGAATAATACAAAATGTTATAGTTATTATTACTATACATTTTTTAAAATAGTAAAAATACATAGTAAAACCCTTGTGTTTTGAAGAAAACATATTTCGACACCACTGGCCTCTTAAATCAAAAATGCGTTGGGTGTGAACCAAAAGTTGACGAAAAATATGAAATGAGGGGCTGGAATTCTGTCTTCTACACATGGATGTCCCCTTTTGGCACAAGTGAACAACATGCAGTGGCTTTTGCGCCTGCATGAAATGATCACCCAGATGTTCTCTAATAGTGTATGCAATAGAAGAACACCTGAACATCTGTCTTTAAACTGACATTTTTAGATTACACGGTTAAATGCTTTGTGTTTCAGGTGCAGAGTAAAATATGTCCCAGATGGGTGTAATTACACTAATATCGTTTTTTCTCTCGCCTGTACTTTTCAATATTGTGCTTTATTTCAAAAAGACTAATTTTGTGTCAGACGGTGACATTGTGTAATCAGTCACCAAGGCACCTTTAGTGAACTATTTTAATTAGAAACCTCTTATCTTGACTTGTACATAAAATGTCACTTGGTGGAACATAATTAGCTTTTGTAATGCTTGCTCCCGTGTCATGGGCTGGTCAGATCTGTGCAGTACATGTTGATTATGGGCCTCAGATGCTACAGGTTCACATATGGGTCTGGGCCTCCTCGTTTCTCTCTCTCTCTCTCTCTCTCTGGTCCGCTTCAGACCGTTAGCTTGACATTCTGTGACTCATCATTCTGTCTTCTTGGACCCCTCGAGCAAAAATGGGCTCCCACCCCCATTTCCTGGTGAAACGGAGGCTCTTGTACATGTGCTGTTGCCTGTATGCACAGAACCCCCACTCTTCCTCTTTTCTGCAGCACTCAGCACAAAACTTCAAATATATTCAGATTTTGCTTTGACGGGCACAGGTTTTCATGGGTCGTCTTGGTCATTTTCCAGCAATTAGTCTTGGTTGAAGTTTTGTGGGTCAGGGTATTGAATAGGGATTGTATGGTTTTTGTAACAGCCCATTTCTCCTACACACCAATGTTGAAAAAGTTTTAAGAATACCGTTAAAAATACTTTCGGAGTTGCATAAATAATAATAGATTTGTAAGCAATTTTTGATAGTATTTCAGTAGAAGCAGGTCAAGTTTGCAGTGGACTTGGTTTTTTATTTAAGTATTAATAATTGCTTTGTATGAAACCCAAGACTTTTCTCTGTTCGAGTGTGAATACATGTGGAACAATACACATCTACATGTTTGTTTATATATGTTGGCAGTTTGTTTGGAGGCTACATAAGCTTTACATGTGAACCCAGTTGCACTGATCATGGATTTTAGTGAAGTATAAATGCACGTGAGGTGCTCCAGGACCAGTACTTGTGTGATTATTATATTTCAGTGTGATGATACTGTTGTACTCATAAGTAGAGCATCATTTGACTGAACAAAGACTTTTAAAAATTCATAATTATATATATTTTTTTATAAGTGCACTTTCTGGCACTATTAGCATAATGCTTGTAGTGATTCTTGGAAGTGTGTGACAAAATGGTACGTCCTGAGTATTTTGACCAAAATGTTAAGAATAATATTATACCATTTTCCAAATGTATATCACAGACCACACTGTTTTTTCAGTGTGTTGTAAAATATTTTATTTGATGCAAATCCCATTCTTAAATGTGCTGACTCAAATATTAGCTAATATTTGAAAATATTTTTTTGGATAAAAAATTATTTAAATCTAATTTTATGCACATACATAATTTTAGTATTAATACATTTTTGTTAAAGATGAAAGAAAAAAATCTGGAATATTTAGAACTTGCGCTTCTGCTTCACCTACATGTGAACGATCTTGACAGCTCTCATTCCCAGTTGGAGTGAAAATGTTGTTCTTGTAAATCCCAGATCACATCACACAGGGACAGAGAGCCTCCAGACTGTGGGTGATCCCCCTCACCTCCCACTTAAACCTGGACACTCCACATTGATCTGGAGCTGGAACCTGGGAGTGATGCTCTGTCCTGGTGTAAAACCAACGAGTGGGACAAGCACATGGTTTTCATCTGGCGCTTTAGGAAAAGTAGACATAAATCAATTACCAGCCAATTTACTTGGAGCTGCTATGTTATCTATATGTTGTGTATCGTTATTGCAAAGGGTAGATTTTTATTTTATTGGATTATACAATTATGATTTCTCAACATTTGATTAATTAAAACAATTTTATTGAATTGATTTGTTAAATAGATGTTTGTGTTTTTCCCATGATGGGTGCCACCTCTTTTGTTTGAAGATGTTGTGACGGGTGCAGTGTCCCGTCCTCGTGGAGGGGCTCTTGACCATTGACCCAGGGGTCAGGTGACTCTTGGAGACCGTTGTAGCCAGAGCACTTGTCAGAGGAATGGGTTAGGCTCCAAGGGAAGGTGACGTGTCTGGACATGCTTCCCTAAAGAAGACTCAAATAGAAATGGGTTAGACAGACTTACTGATGTGAGACTTGGATAGGAATGCCCACACAGACTGCTTTATTAAACCTTACTCTTTGTACAAAGCTATTACAAATTCTCAAAGTCACTTATAATTTATAATTATTATTTTTTATGATCACAATATTCCCTTTTAGTAACAGTTAGTGATACAACTGAGTGAGATTATGTATTTGTGACAAATGCCTGTGTTCTCTCCTGATGTCACACGGTTCTGCTGAGATGCTGAAGTTGAAGGTGTAAATGATTGAGTGAATGATTTGTTGTTGTGATGATGAGCTGAGCTCCAGCTGCTGTTACTGCCGGTCAGGTGTGTGTTTGTGCCTGTGTTAGTTTTACATCACACATTATTTTTACATTTAAACTTTCTATTTATAATTTACATATATTATGTAACAATATATTACAAATATATTAATCAGACATACTGCCTGTATCTGAGGTTTTTTGTGTTCTCAAAACTCACAATATGTGATTGTGGCTGGAGTGAAAATGACTCTAAACGATGTCCATTTCTGGACAAGGTCATAAATGTGGGTCCATTGAGACCTCTAGTGGCTGTTCAGTTGTTGGAGGGATTTGAATGGAGTCTTAAAAGCAGCGAGTTCGTTCATTGTGATAACTTTAGTGCTTTATGTGAATGTACACAGATCAAATAATGATACCGTTTTCAAATTCATGAGACAGAGCCAGACCTGTGGGTTGATACGTTTTAATTTAAGTGTAAAAGTTTATGTGTTACAAAATAAAATATCAACGTAAAACTTTTAATTCCCCTAATGATTTTATTTTTTGAACGATACAAACTAAAATTTTGTATATCAAATTGTCAAATGGGAAATATTTAATGGGATATTTCATAATCAATTAAAATATTTAAAATTATATCTACACCTTGTTATGTGTCCTCCGATAATAGGTCAACATTTGTCCTGTTCTGAAACCCCAGCAGATGCATCGCATCTGTAATCCGAGCTACGTGTGAAGATTCTGGAAACTAAAGTGTGATTTGTAATTGTAACAACTTTATTAGGCTACTCATGGTGCACATTACATACAGCCCCTTTCACTGTTCGTATTGCACTAGTTGAAGTCACCTTTTCTTGTGGCGTGTTGAGTATTGAAAATCCCACACGACATTAATTAACAATTAAGTGTTGGTCTATGCATATTTGATTACATTATAGTTAAAAAATGCTTCTCGCATTTAGTTTCACTGACTTTTTTTATTGTGTATTGACCAGTGTTTTAGTTAAGCCTGGTGACCTGAATACAAGTCTCTTCACACGGAGTTACTCAACACTTTGAGTGTGTGAAGTTTACAGGGTCTTAGTCTATAGACTTGTATATATAAAATGTGTTTGTTCTTCAATTGCTCTTCTTCTGTTGATATTTTTTTATTTTTATTTTTTTTCAGATTGTGCGCATGTGGAAGATGGAGGTCACCACATTGTCTGAACAATGTGCACGTCCTGTGATGCTGTAGCAGCACGGAATGGTTTGTGGGATAAAAGTGAGATACAGGCCACGCCATGCTGCAGCAGCAGAGCAGAAGCTAGCACCAGTGTGGACCACTCGTCCTGCACCAGCACCAGTGTGGACCACTCGTCCTGCACCAGCACCAGTGTGGACCACTCGTCCTGCACCAGCACCAGTGTGGCCCACTCGTCCTGCACCAGCACCAGTGTGGCCCACTCGTCCTGCACCAGCACCAGTGTGGCCCACTCGTCCTGCACCAGCACCAGTGTGGCCCACTCGTCCTGCACCAGCCCCAGTGTGGCCCACTCGTCCTGCACCAGCCCCAGTGTGGCCCACACGTCCTGCACCAGTGTGGAGCAGTGACTCTGAAGCTGCTGGTTTTGCTGTAGCAGCACGTAAATATTGGAGGATTGTGTGCAGGCTCCAGTATTGCCCGTGCTGCTGGAGCACAGCTGGCTCCTGCGCAGTGTTCATGTTCTTAACTTTACATGTTCTCTAGCCTACTGAATGAGACTGTTTTTGTATTCATTTTAAATAAAACATTATGGAAATGTAATTGGCAGACTGGCAGCTTGTCTGTTCTGAAGGAACAGGAATATGTTTAATGGTGACTGTCTAACTAAGTTACTCTAATAACTTCTCATTCTGTCTGAACATGTCACGTTTCAATAATAATAAAAAGAGTGGCGTAAAAACTGGTCCGTGCGTGCGAGTTAATTTGACACCCCAATGGCCTTCAGGTGACACGGGGCTGGGAAGGCGTTTCTTTGTAATTAATTTTTATTATGTGATGATCTAAGCAGTCGGTAGTTTTTACCGTGACGTTCACATGGGCACGTCTGGATTGTGGGGCGTCGCTGTCCATCCCTCCATCTAGGCCTTTTGGGCCTTTTCAAAACTGCAGCCTCCATCCGTGTCTAACACACGTGGGCTTTACCCTGATAGGTTTCTGATTAAATTTACATCATTTTGTACCAATTGAAAAAAAAAAAAAAACTAAAGTTTGGATTTATGACTTGAAATTCACAAGTTACCGTGAGACAAGGTCGTCCTCGAGTCTGGTTGATTTTACACAGCACAATCCGGGCGTGATGATACTTTAGCCCGCTGTCTCTTCGTTGAATTGACTTGTTTTGCAGACGCGGGACTCTTTCCCCTGAAATGAGGAATTACAGCTGCGTCACAGCTTAGTGTTTAGGCTCGTAGTAGAATTTATTTAACAGTGACATTGTCATTAATGTCCTGAACCCAAGCATAGCTGAGGCCCGAGCAGATTGGATTTACATTTACTCAACAGTCTTCGAAATGTTAATTTTCAAATTGATGTTAATATATTTTAAAATACATGTTCAGAGCTTTTGTCACTGGACAGTTTTTAACATGTTAAGTCAATCTTTTTCTGAGGAAATGTTTGAATAACTTGCGCAACATACACAGCGCGTCTTCACTTTTGTTATTAATAAGGATGTCATGGTGTGCCCTCCGCACCTATACATTGCAGAAGCCTCGGCATCCCCTTTGCCTGGCAACAGGACATATGCGTGATATGACGCAGAAGCTTATGGCGAGAGTTGACGTCACGTACTGTTCAAACCTCTTGTGCCAAATGCAAGTGGCTTAAACTATTGAAGAGAATGTGCCCGATAGGCCTGTCCTGGGAGGACCTCGGAGAAACTCAACTTATGCACCTTGAGAATGTGTCCATAAAAGCGGCACCAGTGTGAATATATATGGCCACATTATTGTTGAGCGTAATCAATGTCTCCCACCTTGATCTTCATTTCCATTTCGGAAAGACTAGAGTCTAATGAAACTGCTTTTTACATACAACACAAAAATGTGTTTTTAATTGATTGTCAAATGTGTTTATTTTTAGTATCAAGACAAAAATGTAGTTCTCAAGAAACGAATCGGGCTATGATCGCATTTAGGCAAAAGTGAATGCTGATGTCTATCCTACGGTCTCATTAGTGGTAAAAGCTAAAGAATTTGACAGTGGAGTCCACGATACTTATGAAATATTGCTGTCCTACACTCAGCAGACTTGTGGATGAAGAGGCCAGGTCGCGCAGGAACTCCGTGCTCTGGCAGAATCTGGATGTAAGCGCCTCCAGCACAGGTTCATAGCGGAGCTGGGCTGATGCTGCGAGGACGTGTGTCCCCAGGAGCAGGGCCACAGCGACGCAGAGGCGCGCACATAAAGCTATTGCCTTTGGAGCCGTCGCCCTCGCACAGCCAGCCCTGTACGACACTTTTTCATGAGGCACGCTTATTTTATCCACTTCTCTAAGCCTCAGCGAGTCCCACTTTTTCACATCAAAATTACGCACGAGTGGTCCAATATGATCCTTGTCTTTACAGTCAGGGAGCAGGGTTTCCCTGAGAATCCTGAACTTGGCACGGAACTCCTGCATCTGCTGTAAAAAGCACAGAGGGTCAGTGATGCTCTTAAAGGACTCAGCCAGGCACAACGCACGCTCCCGCTCCTCCAGCGCCGCGCCAAGCCTCGTGATGTCCGGATCATACGCCTGCATCACCACCAACTTGAGCGTCTCCAGGTCAGAGAGGATCTCGTTCTTCTTACAGTCGATGGTGCTGATCAGCTTGTCAAAGTAGTCGGTCACTTCCTCTGCGTCTCTGCTCACAGACTGCAGTGCCTTCTTCTTCCCATCTTGCAGAGACTCCAGGCAGCTCAGGATGTCTGCGCTCTGCCAGCTCTGCACTCCGCGCTGCAGCTCCTCAAAGCACTCCTTCTCTCGCTCGAACGCGTCTTCCAGAGAGCTGAACCTGTGGCCCCTGTGCTGCTCGGTGGTTGCGCAGAAGCCACATATAAGTTTTAAGTCCGTGGCACAGAATATGTTTAAGGGTTGTCCCAAGTGCTGTTTACAAACGGACATTTTAGGTAATACTCTGATCTTGCTGTACTTCTCCACGATTCCTCGCAGAGAGTAGTTGATCTGGAGGCTGTTTGCTCCATTGTGGGGTGTTTCTTTGCGACACGTGGGACATTTAAGAGGTGTCCGGAACGCGAGACCCCGGGATCCCTCCAACAAGCCCTCCAAGCACTTTTTGCAAAAGCTGTGAGAACACAGGAGCACCCGCGGGTCTTCAAACAGACAGCAGCAGATTGGGCACGTAAGTTCCTCCTCCAACTGCTCCATTGCGTCCTGCAAACACAACAGCAAGGTGTCAAAGAAACACTTCATATGAACACTAAAAAACGCACACAACAACCCACCCAGGGAATGCTTTGAGAACTTCAAAGAGAAGCATCGCAAAAGATACGGAATATCAACCCCTTTTCCAGTGCGTCAAGTTTCCCAGTCCCGCGAAGGCATCTGACTGTGCCCACGGAAAGAGATGCGCGCCAGGATGTTGGCACCAGCTCTGCCACTGTCATCCAAAGTGTCCCCTTCTGCCACTGACATCCTCCCTGTCTCCTTGTGTCCACTTCTTGATTCAAACTCAAGCGTGTCTCATTGACCCAAAGCGGGAGACTGTCAATAATCGCTGTTGTTTCAAATTCTCACATTCTCAAAATCAGCCTATGCTTTGAAAAAAAACTCATGACGGTGCTAAAAACAAGTGGAGATTTGATTCCCGTGGTTTTCTGAAGAACCGGGGCGTGTTAAGAATCTCACTTCTGAGGTCTTGCAGCTTGAAGGCACTGACAGATCGTTATGTCAGATTTTGTAAACCCATAGTAACATGCAACGACTGGACCAAAAGAATCACTCACCAGCTGCGAGACGCGCTCTGCAACGCAATAATGGCGCTTGTTGCTGTGCAGACTTCCAACCTTTTCCGGGTACAAAGTTAACCCTTTGACTCACTCTGAACGCATGCAAAAGCGCTTAATATTTTACCAGAAATAGACTTTGGGTCATTATCTGTGACACGATCTTGCACGCGTGGTTTTGGGGGCATAGTGGCTCAGTGATGTTGAGGGATGTTGATTTTGCGCTTTGTCTTTAGCTGTACACTGGTTGACGGTCCCTGCCAATGATATGGGGGAGGGGCTGTTGCTATGCAAAACATTACAGCGTGAAAAAACTCAACTATTTAGAACAGTTCTGGCATAATCTCTGCCCCATTTAATCGCTCTGCCTGTGAATTGATATTATGATTTGGAACGTCTTAATTATACAAAAACTCGATAGAACACGTTTGAGTTATTCAATCTCATCGTTTTTTATGTCCAAAAGCATCAATAGAAGAGGCAAAATAACACTAGAAACGGTAAATTCTACTTTAACTTTTACTTTAGCTCCCATTATCTGCTGCATCATGGGCAGGCAAATGGTGCATTTCCCACGGCAGTCCTACATTTTCTCTGGAACAAACTTTCTTGAGTCATCAGTTCTTATACTGATATGTAATAGTTACCAGGTCACGTGTAAAATGTTGACCTTGATTTTCTTCCCTTGTTTCCATGCCATCAGGAGCACTGCCTGTCTTAGCAGCTGTGATTGGACATAGTGTAGTGCGGCGGTGGCAGCTTAGACATACCGCGTTTGTCCACAGGGTGTCGCTGTCTCGTTAGTGCTGCTTCTTGCTCTTGACGCATGGATGTGTGTTTCCGCCTGCTGCGTGTGATCTGTGATGGCTGCTATGTTTACGTGCTGTCTGGGCTGCTGTGGCGATGCTGGCTCGGGACATATTCCCCTTAAAGAAATGCCCACGGTGCAGTTAGACACTCACCACATGGGTAAGGACGTATTTGTGTTGTGGCACTGCAATGTCTGCCTGTTGTCACGTGCTAACTCCCAGAAACGTTATTTGCTACTTCCGCTGTTAGCATGAGCCAGTAGCTGGTCTAGCGTTAGCATAGATCTATACGTGTCATTTATCGCTATCTTCACGTTTGATTAATACAGATAATACTCAATATACTTTAAAGGATACTCTTTTGTATATAATGTATGTTACTACGGGCAGTATCCATTCTTTTATCTTTTTCTTCATCCAAATTCACTTGCATAGTTCAATTCCAAATTAACTAAATAATGAAGAAGTTTCAAAACAAAGCAGAATAGTAATTATAATCATAATGACACATTTATTAATTTAAATCTATTTTGTTTATTTAATTTTTTTTGTAGAATATAATATTTACAATTCATGTTTATTATATAAATATTTATATATACATATAGAAACAATTAAAATCATATTGCATACACCATGAGCTTATAATGTTTAGACATATAAGCACACTTTTAATTTATTTGTTTCAAATTAGCCCAAAATGGAGAGGGAAGAAGAAACTTATTCCAATAATTCGTTCATTTAGTAGGAATATATATATATATATATATATATACAATTCATGTGCAATCTATATATGTTTATATAGAAATTATTGCACTCCTACATTTCATACGCCACCAGTGTATAATTTCTCATTCACATAAACATTTAGAATATAGATATCCACTCTAAATTAATTTGATTCTAATTATCCCAAAATGGAGTGGGAAAAACTGTTCATACTGTAAAAGAAGTATTGGAATACAGTTTGAGTTAAACAATAACACACATACAAGGAGGTAAATGAAAACATTTGAGGTGTAAATTCATACTTACATTTAGACATCGTCCTACAGTTTCTGATTCCATCATGTGTGCCCTCATGTTGATTCATTAACGTGCTTGAGTCAGTTTGTTTGTTTTGTGTTTTTCCCAGGCACAGATGTCGTTATAGTCAAAAGTGGTCGGAGGATATGTGGCACTGGAGGGTGTTTGGCCAATGCCCCTTTGCACCAAAACAAGAGTTATTTTGAATTCAAGATTCAATCCACAGGTAACATGACTTACTCTGAATGTATATTTCAAATCCAAGTGTTTGTTACAATTTTTATGTTATTCAGGTGTGTGGGGAATTGGTGTGGCTACTCAAAAAGTAAATCTTAACCAAGTGCCTTTAGGCAGGGACATTAACAGCTTAGTCTTGAGGCACGATGGCTCTGTATACCACAATAATGAAGAGAAAAACAGACTGCCTGCAAACAGCATCCCACAAGAGGGGGACATTGTGGTAAGTTTATTTTATTACTCAACCAAATTATGAACATGTTTCATAATTTTTTTTTTTTTTTTTTTGTAATCTAATTGTGGTTTTCCTATAACATTTTGAACTAGTTTTGATAGGTTAAGGATGAAAGATTCAAATACACAGCATTTTTTGTACGCACGTGTGAGTCGATGTGCTTATTGGATTTAATTTGATGTACAAAAGGTCGAGGGAAAAAATAAACTGAAAGGTGTGGAATATCATGCTTTTCACAAAATATACTTATATATTGTTTCAAATACTGAACAGTAGTATTATCATATCCATCCATGCTAATATCTGCTCTCAATCCTGTAAAAGCATGATGACATTGTAGCACTATGACCTCACGAACTGAGCAATTTTCTACTTTTTAAAACAAACGTATTTCCTATACATTTATATTAATTATTTCTCAAGTTAAATTACATTCTTTACAATGGTGTGGCTATGTTCACGGCCAGAAATGTTTTAATCTACCGGTGATTGGTGATTTAGAGAGCACGTTATTAACACAAATAAGGAAAACTTGAGACAGATTTAGTATTTTTTAATTTTCACTTTTTGGAGGCGTTTTAGAGAAATAAAAAGGTCATCTGGAGGATTAGCACATTAGCCCACTCCAGTAAACGTATCTTTCGGTAATGGGGATGCAAACAAATACACAAACAATCAACATCTGTTATTGTGAAGATTTGTTGGTTTGTTTGTCGATAAAAGGTCTTTATTTTGTGCCTGTCCATAGGGAGTCACATATGACCATGTGGAACTGAATTTATATCTGAATGGAAAGAACATGCAGTGTCCCTCCTCAGGAATCCGGGGCACTGTTTATCCTGTTGTATATGGTAAGATATTCATTATAGCTGGTTACATTAAGGTAGTAACAGTTCAAACCCAACAGAGGGCGGTAGTTCTTTTGTTTGTTATCAATTAGTCTACATAGTTTGTACCATTTAATCAAAATGTAAACTGTTCTCTGGTTCTTCACAGTGGATGACAGCGCCATCTTAGATTGCCAGTTTAGTGACTTCTATCACACGGCTCCACACGGATTTGAGAAGATTCTATTTGAACAGCAGATCTTCTGAAAAACCCTTGTAAACCTTGTTTTTTCTTGTATCTTGGTCATATCGGAAAGAAACTTCTATGAATGTTCTATATTAAGACAAATCCAAATGTTGATCAAATATTGTATATGTGACACCAGTGGCTGCCCTTACTCTTTGTATCTTTAAATTAGAATGAAGAAATTTTAATTTACAGACTTGTTATTTTTGGATAAATTATGTACTTTTGCTTAAGTGTTGTAATTCATGTTCATGATATATGGCGTTGTTGGAACAGACGCCATATACCATCCATTCTTTTCCTTCCTGGACATCTCCCAGGAAGCGTCAAAATCAGACACCCGAGCCACCTCTATGGTAGGCCCCCTTTGGCATGGAGGAACAGCGGCTCTATGCTGAGATCCTCACCCCATCTTTGTGTAGTAGGAGCTCATGATCATAGATGAAGCAGCGAATTTACCTAATGACTAAGTTTGTCTTTTGACTCGGGTCCCTTTTCACTGTCTGATACAGCGATTTATAAGCCTTCCCTCAAACTCTTTAACTATTTTTGTTGAGGAAAGACCCCTCCATCTACTTGGTCATACAGGGACTAGCCATTTCTATAATTTTTTCATTTCATATAAAATTTATTTTGACCTGTATTTGTTTATTTATTACTGTATACTGCATTAAGTTAAATTGCAGTGATCTATTCTGGCTCTGTCATCATATGTCTATAAAGGCAGATTATGCTCCTTTGAAACTGAGTTAGCTATATCCATCTCAGCCTAATCTCTTCTTCAGATTGACATATTCCGTGATGCACTGTCTGTACAAGCAAACGCAGTTATTGTTGTGGTAAATAAACGTTTCGCACATTCGCCTCGTTCCATGCGGCTCTTAAATAATAAAATGTGTGATGAAAAAAGTGCTGCGATGACGCGGCTGGGCTGAGGGCATCCCGTGCAGGAGCTGGCCCCGCCTCTGCTCTTCCTCCTCCTCTTCCTCCTCCTCTTCCTCGCGGAGCCGCCTGTGCCTCGTCTTTCACGGAGGAGATCCCCAAAGCAGACAGGGAGTAAGCCGAAACCTCACAGCTATGGCAGAGAACAACGGCCTAGACAACCACCGCATCAAGAGCTTTAAAAACAAGGGCCGAGATGTCGAGGTATGTGTAGCAGCTAGCACATGTGTCTTTAACACTGACAGACCTATGGATATGTAGTAAAGCACTCACTCTGGGCCTCGCGCTGAGCCTAGCCACCGCTGCTAGCTTGTTAGCATTAGTTCGCCATCCTTGATTTAAGATAGCCACCTAGCTTGAAACCATTCGCTTACATATATCAGAGTTTGAAAGTAGTTTTTGTTATTTGATAGACATTTTAATTCAAGGATTACTTGATTAAACATACTCTTATGTCTGAGCATTGCACCTACTTGCTTATTTACAGGCTGAAATGGCACTGTCAATACTATTTAGCCTTACTATGCTAAGCACGCTAGGATTCAGGTTATGCACCGGGTTTAGCGAGGCAGGGCCTGACCCGGCGACAGGATCTGTGCGTGTGACTACTACTTATAATGTTAATCTATGTTAATATTACTTGTGCACCAACTTCCTGAATGCGGAGTGGGGGCTAACTCTCTAGGTCGATCCAACAACTATATTATTTTGCTTCATACTCGTCTTGCCCCTCCTAGTCGTTAGCATTGTGAGCTAAGGTTGACATTTAACCGTATAATAGGAACTAGGGCCTTAATCTTATGAATTGTCGTCCTGCCTAAATCAAAATGTGTTAATATAATGATCTGCCGACATGCGAAGTTGGAACTATAACAAGTGCATGGTGTGCGTGGAAAGCTTTTATTAATTCTGATTGTTATGCCATTAATGTTGTTATAAAATGTGTATTGTACTGGGAGGGATGTTGAGATATTGGAGACTTTATGTTATGCCCAAAGTAGATGTTGTTTTGAAACTTGGTGGTCGTGTAAAAAGCACATGGCCACTGTGGCACACAGACTTGGCCAAGTGCATTCCTGATGCTATTTCGGGCTTCTTGGATGTCAGACCTGGATCCTCTTCAGTGTTTTTATATATGGGTGACTCAGACCACAGCAGAACAAAATGCCAGTTTGGATTTTACTTATGTAGGTCAGTCATAACAGCTTGCCCTTGATTTGAGACATTAGGGGCAGCTTTGAATGGCCAAGCAGAACAGGCTCACATAGAACATGGTATAATTGATTGACTGCGGAACTTTCCGCAGTCAACCATTGGTTTTGTATTTCTTTATTCCGTCATTTTTTTTGACACGTTTCACAGCTTTCACATTTTCAACAATTTCCACAAGTTATACATCAAAACGTTCCACATGTTTGGGAGATTATTGCTATTACTTTTGGGACTTCAGCGATTTCCGGTTTTTCCGCAATCGGACAAAAATCTGCATTGAGAATTCTGCAATGCATTTTAATAGGCCCATGCATTTTAATAGGACTTCAGCTCTTTCAGACATTTCTACAGTTTCAATGATTCAACAGTTTCAATGATTTCAGCAGTTTCAAGATTTCAACAGTTTCAAGGACTTCAGCAGTTTCAAGGACTTCAGCAGTTTCAAGGACTTCAGTGTAATCATGCAACCTAATAGGGATTTTTCCATGTAAACCAGTATAATGCAACTTAATAGGGATTTTTCCATGTAAACCAGTATAATGCAACTTAATAGGGTTTTTTCATGTAAACCAGTATAATGCAACCTAATAGGGATTTTTTCATGTAAACCAGTATAATGCAACCTAATAGGGGTTTTTTCATGTAAACCAGTATAATGCAACTTAATAGGGTTTTTTTTCATGTAAACCAGTATAATGCAACTTAATGGGGATTTTTCCATGTAAACCAGTATAATGCAACTTAATAGGGGTTTTTACATGTAAACCAGTATAATGCAACTTAATAGGGTTTTTTCCATGTAAACCAGTATAATGCAACTTAATAGGGTTTTTTCCATGTAAACCAGTACAATGCAACTTAATAGGGATTTTTCCATGTAAACCAGTATAATGCAACTTAATGGGGATTTTTCCATGTAAACCAGTATAATGCAACTTAATGGGGATTTTTCCATGTAAACCAGTATTATGCAACTTAATAGGGATTTTTCCATGTAAACCAGTATAATGCAACTTAATAGGGATTTTTCCATGTAAACCAGTATAATGCAACTTAATGGGGATTTTTCCATGTAAACCAGTATTATGCAACTTAATAGGGATTTTTCCATGTAAACCAGTATAATGCAACTTAATAGGGTTTTTTTCATGTAAACCAGTATAATGCAACTTAATAGGGTTTTTTCATGTATAATGCAACCTAATAGGTTGCATTATACCACCAGACCAAGACCCAAACGAAGACTCAGACCACCACCAGATAATGACCACAGACCAGGTTTCCTTAGTTACAGGAACCAAATTGTTTCAGCGGTGAGGGGATTTTTCAGTTTCAAGGACACTTTCAATACATTCAGTAGTTTCAAGGATTTCAGCTGTTTAAGAATTTAACCAGTTTCAAGGATATCAGGAGGTTCAAGGATTTCAGGAGTTTCCACACTTTCAACAGTTTCCAGGTTTAAAAAAGTTTCAAGGATTTCAGGAGTTTCAATGTTTCAACAGTTTCAAGGATTTCAGGAGTTTAAAGGTTTCAACAATTTCAAGGACTTCAGGAGTTTCAAATATCTATCAAGTATTTTAACAGTTTCAAGGCTTTTTAAAGGATTTCAAGGATTTTTTTTAGCAGATTTCCACATTAGATCTGTTCCGCAGTCAATCGCAATGGCTTCAGCCATTGCAAGTTTCTAGTCTCCTATTGTTTTCTATATAACATTTGGGTTTTGCCTGTAGTTGAACTAGCTGTACCTTACCATTAAATGAAAATAGCGACTACAGTTACCATGTTTGAAGCTAATTCACAAATGTGCTGTTGAATGCTACACATCTAGACGCTGTTAACTAAGTTTAGAAGTTATTTAGACATACCTCTTGACTGGTGTTATGAGCATTGACCAGTGATACATGTTATGTAACATGCTATTTAGGAGGGAATCTGAAGAACAGTAATTCTTGAGTCCAATCCATCTCAAGATCTAGTTCTACTGGTACTGCCACTAATTACAATACATTTTTGTGTATCGCAGACTATGCGAAGACATCGAAACGAGGTGACCGTAGAGCTGCGAAAGGTGAGTGCTCTGCAAAACATTTTTACTCTGCTCATGTTGCTTACATAATGTAAAGGGGACACCTGTTTTATGTTTAGATGTGTAAGGAAAACAGCAGCCATTATTCCTAGAGATGTTGCATTCAGATCATAACAAGTCCATGCTTCGAATTGCTGAGGTGTCTAAAGTCTAGCACATTCCCGTTATCCAAATGAGAGCCGTTCTGCACTACATGATTAGTCACCAGTGACGCACAGCAGCACGGTGCGCTGGAATGTAGGGCAAGGGAATCTCCTCCTCCCACTGACTCACAACTTCACTGAGCGACAGGAAGATGGGATATGTTCGGTCTGAAATGTTTGGATGAACTTCTAGTGTTGCACATATGTTTTGTGATCTATCAACATGGTCAAATGAAGTTGTAATGATAAATAATAATCTTATGTTTATGCTTGTTAGATCAAACGAGATGAACATCTACTGAAAAAAAGAAATGTCCCAGCAGAAGAAAGTTTGGAGGACTCTGATGCAGACTCGGACTTCAAAGGGTTAGGGGTAAGTAACTAATGAGATGAGTGGCTTGTTATAGTAATGGGCCCAAAGAAAAACTGTTTTAAATTCCTTTTATATAATTCATTTTAGAATTTTTCCAAAAAACTACAACAAATCACTTCTATCATTTTGTGAATCTGAACAAACCTTTTTTATTTTTTCACAGCAAAATTTAACTCTTGAGGCCATCTTACAGGTAAGGTTTGTTTGTGTGTGTGTGTGTGTGTGTGTGTGTGTGTGTGTGCATATGGTGTTGCCTCCTTTATC